TTCAGAACATTTCTTCTTTGGATTCCCACAGTTTTTGACTAGTTCAGCTCCTGCAATCACAAACACTAGAGACTGGTGACGAGTTTTTAAATTCATTATTTGCTAAATATTTTTAGTAGTTACAGCACATTTCTTAAAATCGTATTTATAAAGTATAATTTTTCTTAATTGCTGTATTTTAGGGTGATACAGTTGTTTAAAGTTTGAAGGATGTGTGTGTGTGTATGTGTGTGTGTGAGAGAGAGAGAGAGAGAGAGTTTCTAGGGGATTGTGTCCTTTATTGGGTAGAGGAGTTTTCCTGGTTGGAACAGAGTAAAAATAAAAAAGCAAGTTTTAAGGTAAGCTGGACAGGTAAGTGGGAATGAGCTTGTTATGAATGTCCGATGCAGAGTTCTGAAGATGGCAACCTTCCTGTGATTGGAGACTAGTGATAGAAAGAGAACCGGGAGCAGGGCCCATTTCTGAATTCCAGGTAAACACCTGATGTGAAGAAGCTCAGCTGATGACTTTTACTTCATCCCTTGGGTTTATGATATGTTTATAAGGAAAGCCTGTGTGGAATACCAAATTGTAGGTCCTTGGCCTATAGCAAGTTTCTGGTACTGGTGGGAGTTTAAGGAAGATCTAAAATGGCATGCTTGGCTTATTCTCACTTTTCTTGGAATGAGATTAAAGAAAGATGGATGTTAAGAATCACCATATGGGGGCTGGCGCTGTGGCATAATGGGTAAAGCTGCCGCCTGCGGTGCCGGCATCCCATGTGGGCACCGGTTTGCGACCTGGCTGCTCCACTTCTGATCCAGCTCTCTGCTATGGCCTGGGACAGCAGTGGAAGATGGCCCAAGTCTTTGGGCCCCTGCAGCCACGTGGGAGACCCAGAGGAAGCTCCTGGCTCCTGGATTCAGATCGGCTCAGCTCTGGCCATTGCAGCCAATTGGGGAGTGAACCAGTGGATGGAAGGCCTCTCTCTCTCTCTCTCTCTCTCTCTCTCCTCCTCTCTCTGTAATTGTGACTTTCAAGTAAAATAATTAAATCTTTAAAAAAAAAAAAAAAAGGAATCACCATATGGCATCTTGCAAGCCTGGGCGGTGTTTTAAGATCTTGAACTCCAGGAGTTGCCTGCTGTGGGAGACTAAGACAACCACAGGGTCTAGAAAATGTGGGGTTACTTTGTGCTACTGACCTCAGCTTCCGGCAATTGAAGAAAACTTGAATTCCCCTCAAGAGCAGGCCAACTCAGTGTAATACAGTTTATTTCAATTGAATTAAAACAATTGACTTAGTTGATATTATATATATTATCATAGCATATATAATATATATGCTAGGGTTAGGAATGTTCTAGGGCTCTATGGTTCAACACAGGAGCCACTACCTATTTGTGTGGTTACTGAGCACTTGAAATGTGGCTAGTCCAAACTGTGATGCCAGGTGTCAAATAAACACTAAATTTTGAAGGTTTAGTAGGAAAAATATAAAACATCTCAATATTCTTATTCATATTGTCTTATTAAATATTTATTCATTTATTTGTATGCTAGGGGATTTGACTGTGTAGGACCTTTCTAGGGGACATCGGCCTTGAGCCACTCACATAAATCTCCTTGTTCTGAAAATAGGGAGAGACTACTGGGACCGTTCTAATCTGATGCTTCACCCAATCTCTACTCTCCAGAACCTCCTTCAGTCTTGTACAGTTCAGTAGGGCAAATGCATTTCTCTGTTTGGTGTAAACAGACATTTACTTGGAAATATTAATAAAAAAGCAAGGAAAAAACCCTGCTTTTGTAACTCAGCTGGCCCTGAAAGAGAACCTCATTCAAAAATACCAAAATATTTTGAAAGCTAGGAAGATTTATTGTGTAAAGGTCTAAATTTCCCACACTTGACAGGTATTGCTTGGTTAAGCCTAGAATATCATGGTGCAGCCTGTGTTGGTAGCAGGAATGAATGAAAATACACAATGATTTATTTGAAGTAGTATCTGTAGGCAGTACATGGGAGTGATTGCAGTGCCCCCAGTTGACTATGAAAATTATACAAATACCCAGAAATTTGAGTCCTAAATTAAAAAATGTATGGGGTCTATGAAGATAATGAAATGAGAGTTGTTCTAATTTCAGAACTGAGGTTTAATTCCCCTTCTGCAAAAAGCAGCCATACTCTCTTCCAGCTGGTTTTTGCCACATGGGCACAGAGCTATTAGATCTTGTTTTTTTAAAAAAATGACTGGAAATCATTATACTTAGTGAAATAAGCCAGTCCCAAAAAGACAGATACCATATTCCCTGCCCCTCCGATCCATGGTAACTAATAGAGTACCTAAAATGTAAAGTATTGGGGTTAAATGAACATTTTGAGATTCAACGATTGTTTACAGCCCTTGTCTTCTGTTGAGGAACACTGTTTTTTTCTTCATACTATTGGTTGAACTCTTAGTGTAGAGTTAACATTATGATCATTAAGAACACTAAAAATAGGTCTTGTAAAAATTAAGAGTGGGAATGGAAGCGGTAGGAGGAAGAAGCGTTAAGCATGGGTGGGTAGGGTGGGAAGTATCACTATATTTCTAAATCTGTGTATATGAAATACTTGAAACTTGTATAAATTAAATAAAATTTAAAAATCCAAACAACAAGGGAAAAAATGACCATAGACAGTAATATATCTTTATGAGGTACTTCATTATATTTTGGTACATTTACACATTGTGTATTGATCATCTCAGGATACTTAGACTTTTAACCGTTAGCCAAAACTATGTTTTTAAAAAGTGTAACCACACAGAGATCTGAATCAATCTGAATCTGAATCTGTTCCTACATGCAACACATTCTCTTAGTTTTGCTTTTGAATTTACTGAATAATTTTTTGACTATATTCTTAATGAAAATCAAGCCATACTGAGAGGATTAAAGTATCATTTACAGACACCTACCGTATGCTGGCCTCTCATCCCGTCTACCCAAGCACAAGTCAGTTGTTACTGTTAGAGAGGTGTAGTACCTCCTTGGCTCACGGAGGTAGTTTAGTGTTGCTATTAGGATTCTCATAAGCTTGGTTAATCCAAGTCCTTCCCTGAGTTCTACTCACTGAGCAATAAATCAATTTCTGGGCCTGGAGACTAGTGACAGATCTAGATCAGGTGATCAATTCATTGCTTTCTGAGAGATGGCAACTGAAGTTCCATTACTAATCCCACCTGTTAATGACTTGATTGGCAAGCACTATTTTCAGAAAATTCAAGTTTGTTCCTTATGAATTTATGTTATCAGAAAAAATGTAATAAAAAAGCTAGTTTAATGTGGGGAAAACCTCAATCTAACCAGCAAATATAGTGTTCTGTATAATTCAGTTTAATTTGAGATACATTGACTGCTGCAAACGTAAAAGGGCCAGGAATCTCCCGCTCAAGGTATAGACAGCACTTATGAAAAGAAGTCCAAGCTTACTATTTCACACCAAAAACATATCTTGAGATAATCTTGTTTCAACTGAAATATCTGAATTCAACTGCAAAACCCAAATGAAGGCTCTGGACACATGAAAATACGACAGATAAAATCAGGATACTCATTAAAGGAAGTGGGCAGCTTTGTTCAAGTGGGCAAGGAAGTGGTCAATACCTTGTGAATGAAAGTGGATACAAAGGTCAGCCTTGGCCTGGTGGAGAGAAACCACAGTGTTCATAGCAGTCTAGCAGCTAAGTGGTTGAAAAACCTGAAAGGCAAACCTCTTGTGGAAGGGTTTCTTGCCCATAAAAATAAGATTATCATTTGAATGAGTTGTTTGACTATTTTAGCATAGTCTGGTTGCAGCATAGAAATTTTCTCCTTATATATTTTGTTTCAGGAATAAAATATGTGTGTTACAGAAGTGAACTAAAGAGGTGGACTGTGATATTCAAGTTCACGACTATATTTATCCAATAATGCTAATAGGAAACACTGCATGAAGAGATGTAGCAAGCTCCCATAAATTAACCTAGGATGGAATTCAGGGCTTGTCTGGACTACACATTGCAGGGAATTGTCCTGGTGTCAGAATTAAAGAAGCGCTGTTCTACTACTGGTGGATCTTGACTTCCTTTCCCACTGGTAAACTAACTAAAAATCAGGTCATCTGATATGAAGTTGGAGATAGCCCCAAGTCAGAATTTTATGTTAGAGATTTTTGCAAGTCAGGAGATAGTAACCTGTGGCAACAAGAGATGACATGTGGAGGAGGAAGAATATAAACCTCACTGACTCTTTATCAAACTTTCAAAACTGAAGATTTCTTTTTTCTTTGCCTTTTCTCTGAGACCTCATGAGACCAAAGCCAAACCATTCCTGTGGATTTTTGAAAATTTTACATTGAGAGGATAATCTGAAATTGAACGGTGCCGAGAGTGAGTGTGGCAGCTGGGTGTATGTATGTTCACAGAATTATGATTAAATGTCTCTTCTTGATTACTCATTACACAATGGATGATTATTCTGAGTGGTTTACATGCATTAAACTTGTTTAACCACCACAGCCTTCCTGAGGTAGCTTAGGTCATTTTACAGACAAGGAAACCGAGGCTTAGGTGAATTACATAATTTTCTTTGGGCCAAAAAGCTAGTAAGAATTGGTGTTGGGATTACAAATCAGGCAACTTCTCTCTAAAATGCAACTGGAAGACACTAAATTGCCTCCAGTTGGGCAAATAAATAAAATTCTTGAGAGGTGTATTCTAGGAGAACCAGGATTTTCAGTTTTACCAGGAAGTCAGGAGGGATGTGAAATATCCCAAATCCAGCATCATTTAGCTCAAGTCTTGGGATCTGAAAGACGAGCAGTGAGAGTTGCTTTGCTTCCGTCTCGGGGGAGGTCAAGGAGTTTCAGGAGATTTCTGGGAACTTGTTAAGTTTCGATATTTGTAATGAGACCTCACTCTTCTCCCTTTACAGCCATTGTAAAGATCACATGAAAAGAGACAGAATTTGTAAGCATCCATTAAAACCACAATTCCTCACCATATTTCAAATTCCAGATTGGTGCTGTTGGCATCTGGGTCATCAAAAGCACAGGTCAATGAGTGCTGAAATCCATCCACTTCCAGCTGACTGTAGCATGAGAATGAATATTCATCCACTTCGGCATCTTCCAAGTCTCCTAGGGAGGAACGGATATGCAGTGATCAGTGAAACAAACACATTCTTTTGAAATTTGATGTGTCATTAATAAATAAATGACACTTTTGAACAGACAAGAAGGAGTGATTTTATTTTATCTGAAAAAGAAAAGCCCACGTTCAAAAATATGAAAAAGTTATCCAAACAAAAAATCAGATAAAAATGCTCACTATGCACAAAGTTTTGTAATAAGAAAGTTCATCACAATTAAAAAAGAAAATCTCCAAATATTTTTAAATAGTTCCGCCACTGAGTTCGGGCATTAGAGAACTAGAAGCAAGCTCTTTGTTTAATTGGAATTTCTTGTGCTACAGTTGTTACATTGAAATATTTATACATTTCAAATAAGATATTTCATTTCTACCAATTATCTGTTGGATAATCTTATTCTTTTTGTTTGAGAGACAGAGAGAAGACAAGAGGGAAAAAGAGAGAGAGAGAGAGATTGATTCTACTTGCTGGTTCACTCCCCAAATGCCCACATATCCAGTAATTATCCTGGAGCAAGCAGCTAGAAACACAATTCAAATCTCCCATGTGTGTGGCAGGAACCCAATTATTTGAGCAACCACTACTGTATTGGCAGGAAGCTGAAGTCAGGAGCCAGAGCTGGACCTGGGCATTGCACCCAGGTACTCCAATCTGAGGCACTTACCCACTAGCTAAATGTCCACTCCTTAATCTGATTTTTGGCCTCATTATTAGTCTTCCTTCCCAGACAGTTTTTCCAGGTTAAAGAAGATTATAGTTATCTGATGGTCAAAAGTTCACATTTTTAGGGGGTCCCTATAACTTGCCTAAGAAAAGCATCTAAAAGTAGCAACAGAAAGTGACATTGACTATCTCCATTGTGTGACTACTTAAGACAACTTTGCTATTGACAGAGGTAAACATGACCTTAGATCTTTTGAATTTTCCCATGAATGTTTTGAACATGGCTCCATTCTTACACTTCTTCTTCTGCTATAGATAAGGTATCTTGTAGATACTAGCAAGATTCTGAAAGAAAGTGGGAATCAGGTATCTTTCTTTTGTAGCCACTTTTGGAAAGTACCATATGAGCCTATGACTGCTTTTAGATAATTTGTTTCATCAACACTAGAAACTCATGCTTCTAAGGCTGAGGAACAGAGTAGCCTCTGTTTTGAGGAGGTGGAGGACCACATTTTACAAAATGCCTTGTTTCCATTATTATTGCTTCTGGAAAGAAAAGTTCTAATAAAATTATTTTTGTTTGAACATACAATAGTTTTTAAAATTAGAACTTATTTGGGAAAATATTGAGTTTAATTCAAATGTATACCAGTACCTTCCAAAGGTCATATTCAGAGACAGCTGTTCTGATCAGATGGCTTAGAGAAATTTCTAGAATATTCATATTGAACATTTTGAAGATTTCTTATTAAAGAAAGTCTGTCTTAAGTCTAACCAAAAACTGTAAACTTATTCTTTGTGCATTTTCATTATATAGTGTTAAGAAGTTAAGTTGCAAACAAATAAATTACCTAAGCTCTTAAAAAATGCCCACTTCTCATTTTATGGACTTAGATCTCATCCTCTAAGAACTAGCATTTTTCTAAATGGAATTGTGAATGGTGATCTTCATGCTGTCTTGTACTTCTATCTTCTGTGGGCTTTCCAACAATCCTATACAACCGGCCATGTATTACTATTTGAATTCAGACACCCAGTGAGTCTTTGTCTCCAAGATTCTACAGTATACAACGTAAACTAGTAGGGCAGGCTCCAGTAACTGCTGGGTGGCAGCTGAACAAAGAATTTCCAGGGATCTTGGCCACCCAGTCTGGCACACCATGTCTGTTGTGTACTCTTTCATACAGTTTACAAAGTACTATTCCTACAATTTTTATGCACTTTAAGTACATGTGTTTTAAGAAGCAGCTCTTTGGCTCTTTAGTGGGTATGTTGGGAAGAGCTATTTTGTATCCAAGAAATACTCCCTTCAACAATTTGTAAAATTGCATGGCATAGAGAATGTTCTACTTGAGGTGAGCTGAAACATTCTTAGCTAAAAGCAGTGTACAGTGATTAATACTTTGGAGTTAGACCTGAAAGATGTGGGCTTAAGTTCTGGTATTCTACTGTGTGGCTCTGGTCTGCTATCAGGTAGTTCAACCTCTCTATGTCCTAGTGTTCTGATCCTTGAATGCATGTCATGAGAAATGACTGAATGGCTATGTCTTAGCTTAGAACATAGTAAGCACTCAATAAAGATCAGCTATGACTATTACTATTTTTTTTGAGAAATAAGTAATTAAAAGATAAAGTAAGAATTCTAATTCTGAAAATACATGTGAAACACCTGAAGTTCTTTTAAAACAGAATTCTATGTCAATTGAAGGTGTGGGTATCAGTGTCATTTTGAAATTATATAGAACTTTTGAACAGTGAGTTGAATTGTTCTTTAATGCTCAATAATTAATATTCTTTAAATTCTTAATTAATATTAATATTTAACTAAACACCTAAGCTATTCATCCATAAACATTTAAATCTATTTGAATATGTATTACAGACAAGGAAGTGTGGTTTAGAACTCTTCCTACTGAGTGGAATTGGTTGATTAATAGCTTAAACTGTTTGGACTTTTAAAAAAGTGACTCCTTATTCTTTTGGTCACCTTTGTAGTTAACAGAGAACTAACTTATGTTTCAAAAGCAACCGCTTATTATTTTGTGAATTGCTCACACACACTAAACTGGGAAGTATTTTGATGTAATCATGTAGATGATTGGCCACAAATCTTAAAAAATCTGAAATTTAAATTTTTCAGTAAAAATGCAGTTTTAAATTAGAATTCTTATTTCTTTTCAAAAACAGTATGACTGTCATTGAGAAATAGTGGGAATATATTATTTCAAAGGGGTGAAATTTATGTGTTCTGTTGCACACATATCTATGGGCAAACCCAAGGCGAGTCTTAATGTAATTATCATCCTCTATGGAATGACTCACACATGGTCACACTCTGAAAAATGTCAACCCTCTAACAGATCTCTTAAGAACAAAATTCTAGGGATTTCCATCTTTGGTAATTCCTAAGTAAATTGACTCAAAATATCTAAGGTAAGATGACTAAGAAAACTTCTCAAATATGGAATCTGAGTCATTAGGCTGATGAGTTTGACACTGTCTATCAGGCAGACACTTTTAAAGTGAGAGGACTTAATTGTTGGGAGAAAATTGATAGTCCAAGTTCCTAGGTAGTTCTTGTAACTGCTGGACACTTTTGTCTACAAATTTATTGTAATTACAGGGCATAAAGAGCTCAAGACCTGCTTATAGGTGCTAAGTGTTTTCAGGGTTCCAAAAGGAATTACTACATCTGGTAAATTTTTTTATAGGAAAGCAAATTAGTGTATTTCAATGACAGAACACATTCAGATCTTTCTCTGTGAAGTTCTTCACTAAGGATCTCACATGAATCTACCAAAGCTGAAGTACGTTGAAGAAAGTTCCAAATATTTATTGACTATCTACTATATTTTTGATGCTGGTTTACATACTGGGAATGTGGTACCAGTCAAATAGAGGAAGATACTGTTTCTGGACATTATTATACCATGAAAGTTAAGCTTTTTAGAATCTCTTAAAAAGTCCAACAAAACAAATCTATCTTGATTTGACAAAGCAAAAATATCTGAGAGATTGTCCAACAAGTATGATATTCTTTGTGTAAGACCAAAGGCATCAGTCAACCTTTGAGATCCACAGTTTGAGAGTCAAATGCATCTCTTCTTGATACTTCTGAGGCCTTATAAATAATCCACAGTACCATCCCATAGCTTTTGTCTTGCTGGTTAGAACATACACAATGACTGAATATGTGCTAAGGTCCAAACTCTGTATCAACCCAGTGCCCAACTAAGATCTGTTAGGGAAATGAGTAACCTGAAACACATACTAAAGATAATCCAAAATCCTTAAGAAAAGTTAAAATGACTCACCATTCTGTGCATAGCCACTTTCTCCAGAAACAGCTTGAAGTAAATAGAAAGCCAAACCAAGAGCTGTACCTAGAATTGTCATTCTGAGAGAGAGAGAGGAGAGAGCTGACTTGTGAGCCTGGGTGTACAAATGAATGAGAGAGGAGGGAGGAAGCTCCGATCTACAGCTCTGTACTTCGTTAACCACAGACAGGGGGAAGTATAAACACAGAAAAAAAGAAGGCAAGTGTCAGAAACAGGAAGTCTGAGTAGTATTGCTCTTTTAAGCAGAGGTGGAGGAGAAGTAGAGTGTCTTAAATTCTTGTACCTCTCTAAGCCTAGTATTACTTGCGGCCCTCAACATTACTGTGTTCTTTGGCCTAAAGGGAGTAGATTCAAATCTAGGCTTAAACTATCTCAGACAAAGGCCCACTTTAAAGGAATCACAAAACAAACATATTAACCCACAAAGCTAATCAACTTATTGTTTTACTTTAAAGAAAGATTCTGTACTTTATGAGGTGATGTATAATAGGTTTACTTAAAATAGTTTCCTTTGACTCTTGAAGTACTAGTAATGTTTTGTTCTTAATTTGGGTGTTGGTTAAGAGTGTGATCAGAAGACCAAAAACTCATTTATCTGCATACATTTATTGGTATGTATACTGTATTTCAATAAAGTGTTTTATAAAATAAATAAGCAATATAAAAAGAGCTTACCTCCATCCTCTAGGTTTCACATCAACAGTAATTTTTCTTTTTTGTTCTCATTGAGTTCCTAGAACCTATTCATACCTTATTCATCCTAGTAGGCACTCAAGGATCATTTGTTTAATGCAGGAGTTGGCCAACTATGGACAAGAGACTAAATTTGGCTCACCATCTGTTTTGTATAATAAAGTTTCAGTGGAACATAGCCTGCCAATATGTTTGTATCTTGTCTACAGATGCTTTTGTGCTACACTGGTAGCCTGGAGTAGCTGTGATGGGGATTGTAAAATGCGTAAATATTAAAATCCTTACCATCTGACCTGTGGTAGAAAAGGTTTATCAGCTTCTTGTTTAAGGAATAAAATAGACACTTTCTTAATGTATTTGAAACAGTACTCTACTTGTGGAAATTTGATTCCCACAATATTTCAAGAACACATGGGGCATACCAGAAACATGGAACATACTTATATAAAGTTGAAGTTTGAGACAATGACATAGATAATTCATACTCCCCTTAAATTTATATGCCAATCAAAATTATTCCTCAAATTGACCTCATAGTTAAAGTGTTGGTGTTTCTTAAGCCTGGGTCAATGTAATTCTTGGTAATTGTTGGATTTTTTCTTTTTTTTAAACATTTTATTTTTTATTTGACAGGATGAGAAGGAGAGACAGAGAGAAAGGTCTTCCATCTGCTGGTTCACTGCCCAAATGGTGCAACGGGCAGAACTGGGCTGATTTGAAACCAGGAGCCAGGCACTTCTGGGTCTCTCACACGGGTACAGGGGCCCAAGGACTTGGATGGTCCATCTTCTACTACTTTCCCAGGCCATACCAGAGAACTGGATCAGAAGAGGAGCAGCTGAGACTAGAACTGGTGCCCACATGGGATGCTGGAGCTGCAGGCAGAGGATTAATCTACTGTACCACAGCACTGGCCCAGATTTTTTTCTTTAAATTAATATCATTGTCCAGACACAGGTTGATAGCAGTCCTGTCATTAACAGGCTGATGATGTCTCTTTTAAACCCTCTTCAACTATGAAGCCTCCATGGTGATGGGCATGGTCTGCAGTGATCATAATGCCATACTCTTTTTTTTTTTTTTGAAAGCCCAAGGGATATTTTAGAGTAAGATTCTTATGGAAGGGGCATTTTCTGTCTCCTCCATCTGTTGAAGCTGTGTTGAGGGCATTTGAAAACCAAATAAAGAGTGACAATCTGCCCACATGATGATGTCGGTCCTTGTTTCTGATCTTGTTTTGAAAACTTGGTTAGAAAATTGTAAATCTGATTCACAAAAATTGATGTGTTGTGTGCATTGCACTGAATATCCTTTCAAGAAAACTGTAATTACAAATTCACTCAACTAAGCAAGTATTTGAGGAAAAATGACTAACACAGAACTCCTAAATTGCTCATGGACTGTCACTCTATGGGTGAGTAAATGGGTCATGTTTCTTTAAATTCTCTTGTTTATCATTTAAGTGGACTATCATTTTGATTGTATCTCTTTCCTTTAGTCTTGAAGATGTAAAAGAACAAAGACAAGACACAATATTTTGGTACAGCATGTGCTACTTTGCTCAGGGGATTTCCACTGGTATGCTTGCTCTCTTTGGGTGGGGCAGGAGATGCCGAAAGGACCCAAGAGAGAGAAACCTAAACAAAGCCTAGGGGGCTCAAAGAAAAATGATACCTGTCACTAGTTCTTCTACAGATTGGGAGAGAGAGATCAAGGGTACATACTCTCTTTCTTCACTTAGGTTTTGTCCGTCCATTGGAAACTTGGAAAACCCAAGGAAGAATCTCTTCACTCCACCTGTGCTCCATTTACTATATTGCTTTGTTATTATCATTTGTGAGACCCACTCAGGTAGAAAGAAAAAAAAAAGAGTACTGGGAAGAATCTTCAGGATACCTGCACCTCCAGGTGCAAAATCAGGACCCAAGTATCAGAATGGGCAAAGCTGGTCCTGGACCCTGGGTCCCCTTCTCTTTTCTAATCACCTCCTTTTCTCATCCATCTTTTATACACCAATTCTTAAGTTTCACAAGTTCTTATGACGTGGCAAATTGCTAAAAAGGAAAGCCATGTTCTTGTTTCTCATACACAAGCTGAACATGCAGAGCTAAGAGGACTCCCAATACCAGTTGGTCAAATCTCTCCTTTCTTCCTTTTTTTTTTTTTTTTGTGATTGTTCAGGCCATTTATCAAAAAGGCAAAGCACATCAACGAGATTTTTCTTATTTCAGTAAGTTATGTGCATTTCTGTATAACTGGAGAGTCCTAAAGGGTTGTTCTTTGAATGAGTTTTGAGACGCTAGAATGTCAGAGTTGGAGGAGTGTGTGTGTTATTTATTTTATTGTTGATTTCAAGCAAGCCTAGCTTGGGAAGTCCCATGTCTTCTGGCTTTTTCCCAGTCAGTAAGGACAAAGGTTGTCCTGGGAAAATACAGGCTGAGCATTTTAACTTATTACCTACCAATCTTCAATCTCTGTATTCATCTCTTAGAAATAAAAAATTTTATTTCTATCTCCTACATAAATTATACATTCAGTGGAGGCGGATACCTGTGCAATAACTTTTTCAACACACTGGGGAAACAAGCCATTTCAAGCACACAGATGAATCTTATAAAATAGCAGTTGGTCTTAACTGAGAATGATTTAAAGTCACTCGCCTTGTGGCACATTCTATGAAATCTGTGTTAACTAACAACTTCCGCCATCAATTTATCTTCTTTATTGAACAGATTTATCCTTAAAGTGGAAAACAATCTTGGGTGCCTGAATTCCTCTGGAAAGGAAAATCCTACCTGCTCACTGGATTTGCTGGGGTCTCCAAGAGCTTTGGTAAGTGAGGAGTAACAACACATGGGGGTGTCAACTAGGGGAGGGTGGCTGTATGGAAATCCAGTGTTGTTGTAGTCCTCAGTGAATTGTCTTGAGTGTTTCGTACCTTGTGCTGAGTCAGTCCCTAAGGTTCTGAGGGGGAGTCCCAGCATCTAGAAGTTTCCTTTCCAGGAGCACAGTGTTTTCCTTGTTGTGGCTCTTTCATTTCCCTTTCCTCCTTGCCCCACATCTTCAGCCTCATGTCTTGCTGTTATTTATGTTCTTTCTGAGCAGAGCTTGAAATGCAGTATTGGTTTTGCCTTTGTTAAGACCTCATTTTCTGTCTTTGGATGTAATAAAAATGGAATCTTTTGACTACCAACTTTTCATTCTTTGCTAAAGTTATTTCTGCCAAAAAACTGCAAATAGTTTGATTTTTGCACATGCCCAACATTAGATACAAACGTGAACAACATAGCTAACCTTTGGTAAAGTGACAGACTTTCTGTCAAAGGTTGAATCCTGGTGTTTCTGTGTGCAGCTGGGGAAGAGGTTGGGTCCCTGCAGCTCACAGTTGCACTCTCAGGCCCATGATAACTCACAGAGTTTTTGAGGAAAGCCTGGATTAAGTGATCCAGTTCTGGCCCCCAATCTACACTCCTCTGCAGAGTCTCTGGCCTCAGGGGCACCCCTGTCCTCTTGAGGAACTGCAGCTGATCGTCACACTCTGCCAGCCATGTCCAAACCCAGACCACTAGGAGAATTGACGTGGACCCCTGGAAACCCAGGACCTCTGCGCGAATTGAGTCCCTAGGAACAGTTCTTGCACCTCATGAATTCCCAAGATAAATCTGTAGTCTCAATATCCAAAGTCTCCTTCACTCTTAGAATTGCCAGAGAATCAGCAAGCATTCTGAAAAACAAAAGAGCCAAGGATTTCTTTGTGGCCACACTATATAACCCTGGAATATTCCTTAAATTTTTCACTTATTTGCAAAGCTGAGTGTCTGTCTGTCTATCTATCTATCTATCTATCTATCTATCTTAGGGGAGAGAGAGAGAGAGAGAGAGAGAGAGAGAGAAAGAGAGAAAGAGAGAGATCCCATCCACAGGAGAAAATAGACTGGGCTGGGCTGAAGCCAGAAACTGAGAACTCAATCCAAGTCTCTAATTTGAGTGGAGAGACCAAATCATTTATTTTTTTCCTTAAGGAAACCCTTTACTTAATGAGTACAAATTTCATAAGTACAACTTTATTAAAATAGTGATTCTTCCTGCCATACCTGCCTGCCTGCCCCTGTTCCCACCCCACCTACTCCTTTCTTACCCATTTCTTGTCACATTCTCCTTTAAGGTTCATTTTCAATTAACTTTATATACAGAAGACCAACTCTATACTAAGTAAAGATTTTAACAATTTGCACTCACACACACACGGAGAACAAGCTTTACAGTTAATTCTCATAGTACAACTCATTGAGGACAGAAGTCCTGCATGGAAAATAAGTGCACAGTGACTCCTCTTGTTAATTTAACAATTAACAATCTTATGTATGATGTCAGTGATCACCCGAGGCTCTTGATATGAGCTGCCTTGTCTATGGAAGCCTTTTGAATCCATAATCTCTGTCAGTATTTAGACAAAGCCATAAGCAAGGTTGAAGTTCTTCCTTCCGAGAAAAGTACATCCTTTTCTTATGGTCACTTCTTTCCACTAGGGTCTCACTCATCCTTCATGTAGGACATTTTTTTTTTTTTTTTTTTTGCCACAGTGTCTTGGATTTCCATGCCTGAAATGCTTTTCAGCTAGAGCAGAGTGCTTTAAGGGCTAATTCTGAAGTCAGAGTGCTGTTTAGAGCAATTGTCATTCTATGAGTCTGCTGTGTGGACTGCTTCCCATGTTGGAATATTCTCTGCTTTTTAAT